AAATACTGTGTAATTTTTCGGCTGCTTTACCATTAATGATCCAACAGTACCAAGAAAAGCTTTTAGGCTGAGTACCCTATAAGGCAAGTGAAGCTAAAAGATACGTACCATGTTCTTCAGATGATTTTACATGGAGAGAAAAGGAATGAGAATTGTTAAAAGTAGAGTAAGAATGCCAAACTCAGTTTGTGTGGCAATCAGCACATTAGTAAGAGGAATGTATCATAATTACCAGCCTACAAAGGTGTATTTTTACCTAAAAATCTCAACAAATTTTTTTAACAAATTACCTTATATTTAATATGCCCATATTACAGATAAGAGATCAATGCAAGAGAGATACAGCCCTGGGTCTGAGGTGAGCAACTACTCAGCATTAAGCGCAAATAAGTTACCTACCCTACAGGCACAGTGAGGAAAATCTACCTTAGCAAACTCACATCACATCAATTAATTACTTTATAAAAATAATACACCACAGCTACACATACAGGGATGAAGTTTAAATTTCTCCCCAGCACTTGAGATGTAAATTCATCGTTTTTTTAACTCATGCTCAAATGCAAAGAAGGCATTAGGTTCAAACTTAATGCTATACTTTGATGTTCAGAACATGGTAAATGGAATTTGGTGAATTTTGAGGATGACTCTCTAATCCAGTGAATGCCAGTGATACAGAGAATCATCTAGATTAAGTATGTGATGATGACTTTCTGGTTTTAGGTCATTTACCTGGCTTACTTATTTCTAAGTGTTCAGAAAGATCAGTAATTACATACATTAACAGTGATTCTCACTACCATGGTAGTTTTTATTAGAGCTCATAGTTTTTGGCCACTCTCTTTATTCAAATAGTAAAATACTTTTTTTCTACTATTACATAAGCATCAAATTCAATCTTTCACAATTTTAAATGCTTTGTTTTATTTCTTTCATGTTTACATGTACTACAGCTACCTGTAGAAAATTCTTTTGAGGGCTGGCATTGTGGCATCCTGGGCTAAGCCTCTACCTACAATGCTGGCATTCCATATGGGTGCCATCTCATAACCCAGTTATTCCTCTTCCAATCCAGTTCTCTTGCTGAGGCCTGGGAAAGCAGTAGAAGATGGCCCAACTCCTTGGGCCCCTGCACCCACGTGGGAGACCTGGAATAAGTTCCAGGTTCCTGGCTTCAACCTGGCCCAGCTCCAGCCATTGCGGCCATCTGAGGAGTGAACCAGCAGATGGAAGACTTCTCTCTCTATCTCTCCTTCTGTCTGTAACTCTACCTCTCAAATAAATAAATCTTTAAAAAATTCTTTTGAATTTATTTTTTTATTATAGTTTACTTTTAGACCTCCTACATTCACTGAAATAAACTTTTTTTTTTTTTTTTTGACAGGCAGAGTTAGACAGTGAGAGAGACAGAGAGAAAGGTCTTCCTTCCGTTGGTTCACCCCCCCAAATGGCCACTACGGTTGGCGCGCTGCACCGATCAAAAGCCAGGAGCCAGGTGCTTCCTCCTGGTCTCCCATGCGGGTGCAGGGGCCCAAGCATTTGGACCATCCTCTAGTGCCTTCCTGGGCCACGGCAGAAAGCTGGACTGGAAGAGGAGCAACCGGGACACAACTGGCACCCCAACCGGGACTAGAACCCGGAGAAATAAACTATTAATATAACATTAATTTTACATTTATATTAATGTCTGATATGGGGCTTTAGTTCTAGTAAATCTTCTGGTTTTGTTGCTACCTGTTTATTAGTATTCATGGTAACATTTTATTTATTTTTTGCTAGGTACACTGTATTTCTACTCAAGATTAGTACAATAATACTACGTATCAGAATTTTAGAATTTCCTCTCACACTGTAATATGTTATATTCATTTGAACAAAATAATAGTCTGCTATTACATGTTAAGAAGCATTTGATCTTTTCCAAAAAAATTCCTCCAAACACTTGATGTGTTGTGTGTATATATATATTCACACAATGTATTATACACACACACACACAGAGCAAATGTGATATTTTCAGGAAAACACTGACATCTATCCACACTTGAATTGTGAATTAGGTAGTGAATTTCTAACTTTGTTTTTGTTTTATAATTTGCCTGCATAAGCACTGAAAGCTCAAAGAGGCTGTATCTGTTTACACTTAATGGAATCAAGACTTCGGACAGTTATCTCCACCACTTACTTCATTTTTTTTATAAGAAAACTTTATTTTTTTCCCAAAATTTACTTATTTATTTGAAACGCAGTTACAGATAAGGAGAGAGACAGAGAGAAGTCTTCCATCCACTGATTCACTCCCCAAATAGCTGCAATGGCTAAAGCTAGGCAGACCGAAGCCAGGAGCCAGGAGTTTCCTCCTGGTCTCCTATGTGGGTGCAAGGGCCCAAGCACTCAGGCCATCTTCCACTGCTTTCCCAGGCCACAGCAGAGAGCTGGATCAGAAGTGGAGCAGCCGGGACTCAAATCAGCACTCATATGAGAACCACCAGCCCCACCACTTCCTCATTTTAACAGAAAAGATAAATGAAAGCTGAATTATATATTCTTGCCCTCTGCCAAAAATGGAGTTTGCATCAAACATAAAATATTACAGCTATGCTTGAGGCTTATGGCTGTTACTGACAAAGGTCTCATTTCTCTTTTATGGTCAAAAGGCAAAATTGATACCCCAAGGATAAAAATCACAAAAATGCATACCCAAAAGATGATATGCATCAGTTTAATTGGAAATGGCTTTGAAGAACAGTATTTTTTTCATTGTCACATTTCTCTGGCTGGACCTTGCTGTGATATTTCCACAGAATTCAAGACACATCATTTCAAACAATGTTCTATAGGGATAGTCTATTCCTTAGCTGGAGAAAAAAAAATTTAGTAGGATATAAAGATCTTTGCCTAAGTAAGCAAGAAAATCAGTTGCATTTTTTTTGAAATTGTTAAAAGATACATTGGCTTATAAGACCTTTTCAAAGCACCTGAGTCATAAATTGTTAATACCATAAAAACTAGCTTTTTATTTCACTCTCTTCTATTACAAATCAATCCTTTGCTGGAGATCATTTCATCTTAGCTCAAAAAACATAGTGCTACATCAAACCTGTTGTCTTCATGATGTCAATAATGAACAGGCATAATAATTCTAGTATTTTCAGTTCTTTACATATAACCAATAATCAGACCAACCTTATCATAGTCTCATTGTTTTTAATATATAGTCATGACAGCCTAATACTTGCAATATTTTCTCATTTGGTCTATACATTAGCTGTTTTTATCAAAGTATATCTGTTTCTTTAAGTAGATTTTTGGTATGTAAGAAACATAAGTGGCTTTAAAAAAATCAAGAATTGCCATTAAGGCTTTAAAAATAGGTTAAAAACACAAGTTATATACAAAATATTACACATTGCAAATTGTAATCAAATTATCAATCTGTTTTAATGGCAGAGCTAAGATTTTCTATGGCAAAATTATCATAATTCTAAGTTAAATAAAAATACCTAATACTCATGGTTAAGTTACGCTACCATATTTCTCATAAGGTATATTTCCAGGCATAGCTTTAAATGACATGTATATATTTGCTTTCCTACCTTTTTGTGTGATACACTGATCATTTTAAACCATAAAGAAAGTTAACAACCCCTTAACTTATAACCACTTTTAAGTTTATTTTACAGCATTTTTATTGAGATATCATTTAACTACTGACCAGGACTGTTTACAAATGTAATGCTTGGCCTTTTGAGACAATTAAAAACCTTTAAGTACTAAAATTTTACATCATGATTTGATTAACTTAAGAAGTATTATTATGGTGAAAACTAAGAAGAAAATCTAAAGCAAAAATATAATGATTTCCACAAAAACCATATATATTCTTCCCTTGTATGAAAGGAAGGGAGGGAAAGAAGGACAGAAGGGAAAAGAGGGGGAAAGATGAGAGGAAAAAAAGAAAGATAGGCAAGAAAAATACTCTTTTTTCCCCCCATTTGCAAAAAGAAGGGAAACTGAGGTCTCAGCAAATAATGCAATCAACTCAGTCAGTTTATAGTAAGGCATCTTCTTTACATATTATTGAATCCCATCATGCCTTTCATATTGCCAGCAGCACCCTGTTGAAATTGCCTCATCATGGACTGAAGTCCTGCCATACCACCTAGAGCCAAAGTAAAGTAAAAACAGATAATTATTAAGCAGAAGTTGACACACTTTATCACTTTTATCTAACAAGTACATTAACTACTAAAAAATACTGGATTCTGGCTATAATTTTGTCATCAGTCTTAAAGAATATATCAACTAAAACTTTATATTATCAACAGTATCCTCATCTACAAGAAATGATGAATAATCTATCTCATTGAAGAATACAGGCAACCATCTTAGAATAATACCTGCCACACATTCAATAAATCTAACTATATTTTTCTGTCAAGTCCAAAACAATCTTGCCATAAACAGTAGTAAGTTACATAAAAGTAATCAATGAGAAGCTGTTTCAAATGACTTACAGAAAGAAAAAAAATTCACCATTTATTAAAAATCTACTATATGCTTTCATTATATATTAGCTTATTTAATTGTCACAATTTCCTCATTAGCTATTATCTGTGATTTCACAGAAGGGTAAAGTAAAGTTTAGAAAGTTTAAGATACTTATCAAAGTTACACAGTAAAAGTATTCACAATCCTTGAGTAATTTCAAAGTCTCATCATTGAAAACATCTGGGTTCCAAAACAGAGCAAAAAGTCACTAAAACAAGCATTCGCAAAAGATGATTACATAGCTTGCTCAAAAATCACACAGGTGGCAGCAGGAGTGAATAAAATCCACTCACAGAGCTCCACTGCAGCAATTCAAGATTCAGACAGCCACTGCCCTCAAATCATATGTTTTGAACACATTTTCATATCACAACAGAAGGCTTATCACTAAAGCTCAACCCTTATAAACTAAACTATGTGTTAGCAACTGGCAATAAGTTCGTATTTACCCATGTGATGAAGAACTCTTGGATCCATCATCTTGGCCATTTGTTGATTCAATTTTGCCATCTGTGACTGGCTCACATTTTTAGACATGTCACCGCCTGAAAAATTTTGAACAGATGCAGGATGTAATATCAGAGTATCACAGAAAGTTGTTTTTTTAAAGTTTTATTTATTTATTTATTTGAAAGAGTTACAGGCCGGCGCCGCGGCTCACTAGGCTAATCCTCCGCCTAGCGGCGCCGGCACACCGGGTTCTAGTCCCGGTCGGGGCGCCGGATTCTGTCCCGGTTGCCCCTCTTCCAGGCCAGCCCTCTGCTGTGGCCAGGGAGTGCAGTGGAGGATGGCCCAGGTGCTTGGGCCCTGCACCCCATGGGAGACCAGGAAAAGCACCTGGCTCCTGGCTCCTGCCATCGGATCAGCGCGCTGCGCCGGCCGCAGCGCGCCGGCCGCGGCGGCCATTGGAGGGTGAACCAACGGCAAAGGAAGACCTTTCTCTCTGTCTCTCTCTCTCACTGTCCACTCTGCCTGTCAAAATAAAATTAAAAAAAAAAAAAAAAAAAAAAAAAAAAAAAGAAAGAGTTACAGAGAAGGGGAAGCAGAGAAAGAGAGAGACAAATAGACAGATCCATCCCCTGGTTCACTCCCCAAATGGCTGCAATGGCCAGGGCTTGGCCAGGCCAAAGCCAGGAGCTAGGAGCTTCATCTGGGTCTCCCAAGTGGGTGCAGGGGCCCAAGTACTTGGGCCATCCATCCCTGCTTTCCTAGGTGCATTAGCAGGGAGCTAGATCTGAAGTGGAGTATCCAGGACTCAAATTGGCACCCATATGGGATGCCAGCACTGCAGGTGGTGGCTCCACCCCTACACCACAGCAGCAGCCCCAAATACAAAAATATCAAGATCATTTCTATTTGTACATATGCCCTTCTAATCTTTATCTCAATTACACTTTTTTTTTTTTTTTTTTGAGGAAGAACAAGAAAAATTCCACATAAAGGGACAAAGAACTTTCTTAAGGCTATGATTTTGTTAATCCTTTCAGGTGTACATGTGAATGACGCATTATCAACAAAATCGTATCCAGCCATTACTAACAGAAAACAATAGTAACAATAGCTCAGTAGCACTTTGGGAGAAGGTGAAACAAAAAGCTGAGTTTACAGATACCAGTCAGTTTGGAAGGAGACTGGGTGACTGGTAAATGAATGTGAAAAAATGAGTCTGAGAGATCCTGAAGCATGGTATAATTCTAAGAAGCTTTTCAAAAATGCACACACTGGAGCAGGCATTTGGCTAACAGTTGATGTGCCCACATCCCATAGTCAGGGTTAGATTCCTAGCTCCAACTCCTGACAGCTTCCCACCAATGCAGAGCCTGCGAAGCAGCAATGGCTCAAGTAATTGAGTTCTTGCTTTCCATGTGGGAGATCCGGACTATGTTCCCTCCTCTGGGCTATGGCCCAGGCCCAGGCACAGTCATTGTGGGCATCTGGGAAGTTAAACAATGGATATGCACTCACTTTGTCCTCTGCCTCTGAAATAAACAGAAAAAAAGTTTAATTCCACACACTTAGATTTTCAAAGGAAACAGGGCAGCCAAGGAGAGAGATGCCCTCTGGGCCAGAATAAGTACAAACATCTTTTAAAGAACAGCTGTATGATCAAGATGCAGGAAAGAAGATAGATCATCAATGCAATAACAATAGGTAGAGCTGCATCAGCAAAATTGTTTCAAAAGAACATCAACTATGAACTTCTCAGGAGCAGTGACAAAAATGAAAATCAATGTTTTCCCTGATTCTCTGATCACAGCTGGCTAATCTGAAAAAAATTACATGAATTAGCACTAAAGTGGGGACCAGCACTGTGGTACAGTGGTGTGGGTTGCCACCTGTGAGCTGACATCTCCTGTGGTTTGAGTCTTGGTTACTCCACTTCCTGTCCAGTTCCCTCCTGGGTGCCTGGTGCTTGTGGAAGCAGTGGAAGATGGCCTAAGTGCCTTGGCCCCTGTACCCAGGTGGGAGACCTGGATGGAGTTCCAGGCTTCCAGCTTTAGCCTAGCCCAGCACTGGCAACTGCAGTCATCTGGGGAGTGAACATGCAGATGGAAATCTTGGTCTCTCCCTCTCTATCTGTAAATCTGCCATTCAAATAAATGAAATAAAAACCTAAAAATAAATAAATACTATGAATGAAAGAGAAGATATGTTTTTACAACAAGACATAAAAATCTGTGAAAGAAATTCATGGTTAATAAATATGTAAAAGATGTGAATTCCATGTTCACTGGAATTTGTTCAAAGAGTTTGCTTCTCAGAACTTAAAGCTTCTGGCCGGCGCCGCGGCTCACTAGGCTAATCCTCCACCTTGCGGCGCCGACACACCAGGTTCTAGTCCCGGTCGGGGCGCCGGATTCTGTCCCGGTTGCCCCTCTTCCAGGCCAGCTCTCTGCTGTGGCCAGGGAGTGCAGTGGAGGATGGCCCAAGTGCTTGGGCCCTGCACCCGCATGGGAGACCAGGATAAGTACCTGGCTCCTGCCATCGGATCAGCGTGATGCGGCGCCGGCCATGGCGGCCATTGGAGGGTGAACCAACGGCAAAGGAAGACCTTTCTCTCTGTCTCTCTCTCTCACTGTCCACTCTGCTTGTCAAAAAAAAAAAGAACTTAAAGCTTCTAAAAAATAAGGGTTTGCTGTGACAGGTACATGTGCACATCCACTGCCCACTTTATTTGGGTATGTCTTTTTTTTTTTTTTTTTTTTTGACAGGCAGAGTGGACAGTGAGAGAGAGACAGAGAGAAAGGTCTTCCTTTGCCATTGGTTCACCCTCCAATGGCCGCTGGGGCCGGTGCGCTGCGGCCGGCGCACCGCGCTGATCCGATGGCAAAAGCCAGGTACTTCTCCTGGTCTCCCATGGGGTGCAGGGCCCAAGCACCTGGGCCATCCTCCACTGCACTCCCTGGCCACAGCAGAGAGCTAGCCTGGAAGAGGGGCAACCGGGACAAAATCCAGCACCCCGACCGGGACTAGAATCTGCAGTGCCAGCGCCACAAGGCGGAGGATTAGCCTAGTGAGCCGCGGCGCCGGCCTTGGGTATGTCTTTATTGAAAACCAATCTTTAAACAAGATCTGGCTGATAGATCTGCAATAGTTCCATCAAGAATAATCAGGATCAGTTGAGAAAGATGGTAAATTGACACAATTTGTTTATTAATCACTACCTGAAATAGCATGAACTGTTTGGAATTATAACCAATTTTAAACATGTTTGTCTAACTTTTCTCCCTCATCATAAGAGAAAATAGGACACTGCAAACAAGGAAAATAAAGTACCAGCAACAAAAGATAACAAAAATACCTGTAAATACTCATTCTCTTTAAAAGCTTATCATTGGGGGCCGGCGCTGTGACAGTGGGTTAAAGCCCTGGCCTGAAGTGCCAGCATCCCATATGAACACCGGTTCTAGTCCTGGCTGCTCCTCTTCCAATCCGGCTCTCTGCTATGGCCTGGGAAAGCAGTGGAAGATGGCCCAAGCCCTTGGGCTCCTACACCCACATTGGAGACTCGGAAGAGGCTCCTGGCTCCTGATGGGCGCAGCTCCAGCCGTTGCGGCCATCTGAGGAGTGAACCAGCAGATGGAAGACTTCTCTCTCTGTCTCTACCCTTCTCTGTAACTCTGTCTTTCAAATAAATAAAATAAATCTTTAAAAAAAAAGTCTTATCATTGGTGCTATTCATCTCTGGAGCTTCCCTACTCAAATTTTTTGGAATAAAATAAATTCATTTTAATGGCTGTTTACATTATAGAAAAAAACTTAAAAAGAGGTCTAGAACAGTTGATCAACTCTTTGGAAAAACAAGTTATCTTTCTACCTTACACAATACGTGGCAAAGTAAATTTGAATTTCGATAAAATGAAAAAAAAAATTAATAAAAAAGAAACCTAACACAAATAGAAAAACATACAGATATCAACATGAGAAAGGCTTTCATAAGCATAAAACAAATCCAAGGAAAAGATAAATAGGTTTGGCTACACAAAAAATGGAAACTTATCTTTATTAAAAATAAAAATAAAAGCAAATGAAAAACTGGAGAAATATTTAGATATAAACCAAGGATTTTAAAATATTACTACAAAACAGTAAGGGAGGGACTGGGGTGGTGGTGCAGTGCATTAAGCTAGCATCCCATTAAGAAGTTCTAGCATCCCATATGGGCGCCCATTAATGTCCTGGTTGCTCCACTTCCAATCCAGCTCTCTGCTAGTGTGCCTGAGAAGGCAGTGGAAGATGGCCCAAGTGCTTGGGCTGCTGCACCCACATGGGAGACCTGGAAGAAGCTCCTAGTTCCTGGCTTTGGATTGGCCCAGTTCTGGCCATTGTAGCCAATGGGGAGTGAATCAGCGGATGAAAGGTCTCTCTCCCTCTCTCTCTCTCTCCTAACTCTGCCTTTCAAATAAACAAATAAATCTTTTTTTTTTTTTTTTAAAGGGAAAACAATGGAAAGACTGGACAAGGAACATGAAGAAGTGGTATACAAATTAAATGTCAATAAATGTACAAAGAAATGTTAAACTTAGGAAGTAATCTAAAACACATATAGTGAAAAAATATTGGATCATTAACTTGGAGACGGCATTATTACAAAATTGATTCAACATCCACTATGTTTTTGATGAGAACAGAGAAAATCCATGGCATCCTGGAATGATACAGAAACTGAGACAAATATAGAAGTGAATGAACCAGCCTAATTATTAGACAAAGAGGAATTAAACAGTTACATGTATAACTGGAACAGCAATAATCAGGGATAAAAATTAATATTTTCATGGCCAGCATTGTGGCATAGCGGGTTAAGCTGCCGTCTGCAGCACCAATGTCCCATATGGGTACCTGTTGCTCCACTTCTGACCCAGCTCCCTGCTAATATGCCTGGGAAAGCAGTGAAGGATGGCCCAAGGGCCGTTTCATCCATGAGGGAGATCCAGAAGAAGCTTCTAGCTCCTGGCTTTGAACTGGCCCAGCTCCAGGCATTGTGGCCATCTGAGGAGTGAACCAGGGATGGAAGATCTCTGTCTCTCCCTCAGTCTCTCTCTACAATTCTGCCTTTCAAATAAAATAAATAAGTCTTTTAAAAAATCTAATATTTTAAAGAATACTTAACATTCTCAGATAGTCATGATTTACTAGATGAAAGCATTAGTTATATCAAATGTTTTGCAATAAGGTCCATAGTCTGTTTTTTAAAATATTAATGTTTATTACCTTGAATCTGAAAATAGATTAAATCAAAGATCACAATGGAAATCCAAGAAGTACTTAAATATAACATGAAATTCAGCAGTGAATTTTTCAATATTGGCAGTACTTCCTGACTTTAAAATTTTTTTCTATTTTCATTCATATAAGACAGCTTTGTAAAAAAAATTTGGGAAGGGCTAGCATTGTGGCATAGGGAGTTAAGTTGTCACCTGTAGCGTCAGCATCCCAAACAGGTGCCGGTTCAAATCCCAGCTGCTCCACTTCCAATCCAGCTCCCTGCTAATGTGTCTAGAAAAGTAGGGGCTCAAGTGATTGTACCCTGCACCCACATGAGACACCTGAATGAAGCTCCTGCTTCCTGGTTTGGGCCTGACCCAGCATTGGCTGTTGCAGCCATCTGGAGAGTAAGCCAGCAGATATATAATCTCTCTAACTCTGCTTTTCAAATACATAAAATAAATCTTTAAAAATAAATTTATTTATATTGTCTAGTATTGGAAAAGCAGAGAGAGACAAAAAGAAACCTCTCCCATACTCTGCTTCACTTCCCAAATGCCCACAACAGTCAGAGTTGGACCAGCTGAAGCTGGGAACTGTGAACTCAATTTCAGGTCTGACATGTGGATGGCAGAGACTCAATTACTTGACTCATCACTGTTGTCTCCCAGGGTGCCCAACAGCAGGAAGCTGGAACTGGGAGCAGAGTTGGGACCCAAACCCAGGCACTTCAATATGGGACACAGGCATCTCAAGCAGCATTTTAACCCCTGGACCAAATGGCCTCCCTAACTTTTTAAAATCCAATTTCTCAATTTTATTTTTTTTCAGTCTATAATCTAATGATGAGCTTATTTTTCTTACCTTTGAAAAGTCCTTTGATACCACCCATTTTTTTAACCATCTGTGCAAACTTGGTATATTGCGTCAAAAGTTCTTGAACATCTCTCGTTGACACACCTGATCCTCTTGCAACTCTTTGGATTCTTCCCGGCTGCTTGCTAAAAACCTTGGCACCATCTGTACTGTCCAGTTCTGTAAGCAAGGGTGCAATTATTTTCTCTTATATACCAATCATCATCAAAGAAGTTATATGCAAATGGGCAACATATAATAAGAACTTAGCAGTTACTTTTTTTAAATAGGTAACTATTGAACTTTCTTTTTATAATATGAAATGTTTTACATAAAGAAAAAGAGATATAATAAATGGTCACATCACCACCCAGACTTAACAAATGGCACCATGTACCACGTTTGCTTCTGTTTTTTTTTAAAGATTTATTTATTTATTTTAAAGTCAGAGTTATATATAGAGAGAGGGAGAGGCAGAGAGAGAGGTCTTCCAACTGCTGGTTTACTCCCAATTGGCCACAACAGTCGGAGCTGCACCAATCCAAAGCCAGGAACCAGGAGCCTCCTCCGGGTCTCCCACGTGGGTGCAGAGGTTCAAGGACTTGGGCCATCTTGTACTGCTTTCCCAGGCCACAGCAGAGAAAGACCAGAAGTGGAGCAGCCAGGAATTGAAATGGCGCCAGCACTGCAGGCGATGGCTTTACCTGCTAAGCCACAGCGCTGGCCCCAGCTTGATTTTTAAAAATTAAACAAGGGGGGCTGGCACTGTGGTATAGCAAGTTAAATTGCCATCTGCCACGCTGACATCCCATATGGATAGTGGTTCATGTTCGGCTGCTCCACTTATTTATTTTTAATTTTGTTTATTTGAAAGGTGGAGTTACAGAGAGATAGAGAGAGAGAGGTCTTCCATCCACTGGTACACAAATGGCCGCAACAGCCAGAGCTGGGCTAATCCGAAGCCAGGAGCCATAAGCTTCTTCCAGGTCTCCCATGACGGCGCAGGAGCCCAAGCACTTGGGCCATCCTCCTTTGCTTTCCCAGGCCATTAGCAGAGTGCTGGATTGGAAGAAGAGCAGCCGGGACATGAACTGGTGCCCATATGGTATGTTGGCACTGCAGGCAGAGGCTTAGCCTCCTACACCACTCAGTTGTACCACTTCTAATCTAACTCCTTGCAAATGGCCTGGGAAAGCAGTAGAAGATGGCCCAACTCCTTGGGCCTCTGCATCCACATGGGAGACCCAGAAGAAGCTCCTAGCTCTTGGCTTCAGCCAAGCCCAGCCCTACCCATTGTGGCCATTTGGAGAGTAAACCAGTGATGAAAAATGTCTCTTTCTCTCCCTCTCTCCCCATTACACTGCCTTTTAAATAAATAAATAAAATCTTTTAAAAAATATTTATAGTACTCATAATCTGTGAAAACAATAAAACAAAGACACACATATGTTTCCTACAGTTTAAGTAAAACAGAATCTTCAGAGAACCTCTGAAACCTCATGCCCATTGGGGCTGGCATTGTGGCATAGCAGGTTAAGCTGTTTGCAGTAGAGGCATCCCATGTGGGTGCCAGTTTGAATCCGGCTGCTCCACTTCTGACCCAGCTCCCTGCTAGTGGCCTGGGGAAGCAGCAGAAGATGGCCCAAGGGAGACCCAGAAGAAGGTCCTGGCTCCTGGCTTTTGATCGGCCTCCGCTCTGGCTATTGAGGCCATTTGGGGAGTGAACCAGCAGATGAAGATCTCTGTCTCTACTTTTTTCTCTCTGTAACTCTGCCTTTCAAATAGATAAAATAAATCTTTAAAAACAAAACCAAAATTACCTCATGTCCACCATTTCCATATCTCATATATCTACCCTCTCCATGCCCTCTAGACACAAAGAGGTATATGGTATATTTCAAAAAAGAACACCAATGCTCACCTTAGTTCTCCCTAAATAACTACTATCCTTTAATTCATAAATTTAGGCTATATAAATCAACAGAAGAGAGCTTCTATCCATAATGAAGAGAATATTATATTTTCTGTAATCAAATAATTATAACCAACTGAACTTTAATCATTTCTGTTTAAGAATAAGTTAATCCCCTCCAATTTTGATTACTCTTTGAATACAAGGTGCAGGGGCCAGCACTGTGGCATAGAGGGTAAAGCCACCAAGTGTGGTGCTGGCATCCCATATGGGCACCAGTTTGAGTCCCAGAAGCTCCCCTTCCCATCTAGCTCCCTGATAATGCACCTGGGAAAGCAGTGAAAGATAGTCCAAGTCCTTGGGCCCCTGCATCGACATGGGAGACCCAGAAGAGGCCCTGGCTCCTGGATTCAGAACAACCCAGCTCTGACCGTTACAGCCATTAGGGGAGTGAACCAGCAAATGGAAGCTCTCTCTCTGCCTCTCTGTAACTCTGCCTTTCAAATAAATAAATAAATCATATAAAAAATAAAAGACAGACCATGATTATCTACTGTTAAAAATAAAAGTATATAAAAATAAATAAAAAAATAAATAAAAAGTATATAAAAATAAAATAAATAAAAGTATATTAAAACAAATGTATATATTATCTAGTATATAAAAAAATAAAAGGATCACAAGGTGCATTTCTTCTAGCTTTAGATGCATACCATCTCAGGAATGGTACATACTTTAGTCAAAATTCCTATTATGTTTGCATTTGTTAACATCTCCTAATAAGTAATTATTGTGCCTTGGTCTTTGCATCCCTAAAAGAGATGATCTGCCATCTAAATAAGGCAGCCCATGCCATTATTCTGTTATCCCTGTAATCATGGAAAGTGTTTTCACTTACTAAACTGAAATATGTTTGCCAGGTACTTTTATTCCTATTCTTGTAAACATCTCCTTACCAAGCATGAAAAACAAGGCTTTTAAATACCTGAGAGCCATCAATGTCTCCCTTGAGTTTTCTCCAGGTGACATTTACCCAACTCTTTCATCTTTTCTTATAACACGGTACACAACCCCACTTACCCTGATATCCTACATGCATCTTTTCATTCATCTATACCCTCCCAAGTACTGACAAATGGTGCTTTCCCTTTAACTGAGTAGTCCTGAAGGACAAGTATGAGTTAAACAAAGAAAAGAAAGGAGCAAGGGGCTGGCGCCGTGGCTCACTAGGCTAATCCTCCGCCTTGCGGCGCCGGCACACTGGGTTCTAGTCCCAGTCGGGGCGCCAGATTCTGTCCCGGTTGCCCCTCTTCCAGGCCAGCTTTCTGCTGTGGCCAGGGAGTGCAGTGGAGGATGGCCCAAGTGCTTGGGCTCTGCACCCCATGGGAGACCAGGAGAAGTACCTGGCTCCTGCCATCGGATCAGCGCGGTGCGCCGGCCGCAGCGCGCCGGCCGCGGCGGCCATTGGAGGGTGAACCAACGGCAAAGGAAGACCTTTCTCTCTGTCTCTCTCTCTCACTGTCCACTCTGCCTGTCAAAACAAACAAACAAACAAAAACAAAAACAAAAAAAAAGAAAAGAAAGGAGCAAGGGACATGGATTCCAACAATAAACAAAGCTAGTTTGGGGGCAGGCGTTTGGTGCAGCAGCCAAGATACTGCTTAGGACACCCACATCTCATATCAGAGTGCAATGGATTCAAATACTTAGGTTCCTGCCCCTATGTGGGTGACCCAGATTGAGTTCTAGAATTCTCAGTTTCTTGCCCTGTGCAACTCTGGCTGTTGCAGGCATCTGGGGCATAAATCAGTGGGTGGAAGATCTTCAGTGCATTTACCCTGTCTCTCTGCTTTCGGGGTAGTGAACATCCAGCCCGCAGGTCAGACAAAGCCTGCAAAATCATTCAGTGTGGCCCTGCCATTGCAACCATAGGTGGGGCTAGAAATTCAAGAAGTCTATAGCAGGCTAATTTTTAAGGGGATAATTTTGTATGATCTGTAAATAATGTTATAAATCTCCAAATGGCTCTTGGCAGAAAAAAGGTTCCCCATCCCTGCTTTAAAACAAAATGAAAATAAACAGTAAATTAAAATATATAAATAAACCTAATTTTGTGTTAAGGAACTGAGAATGAATGAAAGCTGAGATATCTAAGAGGCTGCAAAAGCAAGTAAGGACAATATTACAACAGAATTTGTATGCCAAGCTCAGGAATTTGGAATTCATTGTGGAGGTAGTAGAGAAATACAATGAAAGATCTGGACATCAGGACTGTTATTAGAAAGATCATTCTGGTGGCACTGAGGAAGACGAACTGAGAGGGAAATACTAGGATCCTATCAAAGTAATACAGGTAAGAAAAGATATGAATGTAAACTAATGCAGGGGTTGCAGAGACAAAATAAAGAGAAATATTTATGAAATACAACTTAATAAATCTAAAGTGATGTTAAGATTTCTACCACTTGAAGTGGCAAAATACTGATAGATGTAGACTATGATATATTAAGCATGTAAAATATACTACCTAAAGCAACCATTAAGAAAACTACTCAAAGAGATATACTAAGAAATATTTATAGGTAACTTAAAACAGAACACTAAATAATGGTCAAGTAACCCACGAAGAAGTAGAAAAGGGAAACAAGAACAAAAACTAGGAGGAACAGACAAAAAGCAAATAATAAAATGGCAAAACTAAATCTTAACACCTCAATAATATAGCAGCTAAAAATATTACTAGAATATATATATTTTTTAAATAATCCAAAAAATATATACTATCTTCATGAAATTCACTAAGGTGTAGATAGGTACTATGATTTGATTATTCATGTCATTTCCAAACTTATGTTGGATTTAATCTCCAAAGCAACAGTATTAAGAGGTGTGACTTTTGGGAGGCAACTAGGTGAGAAGAGTTCTAATCTCATGAATCGTTTGGTGCTCTTTTTATTTAACAGGTAGAGCTATAGACAGTGAGAGAGAGAGAGAGGTCCTCCCTCCGTTGGTTCACTCCCCAAATGGCCGCTACAGGCAGCGCTGCGTCGATCCGAAGCCAGGAGCCAGGTGCTTCTTTCTGGTCTCCCACTCTGGTGCAGGGGCCCAAGCACCTGGGCCATCCTCCACTGCCCTCCGGGGCCACAGCAGAGAGCTGGACTGGAAGAGGAGCAACCGGGACTAGAACCTGGCGCCCACATGGGATGCTGGCGCAGCAGGTGGAGGATTAACCAAGTGAGCCACGGTGCCGGCCCTGGTTTGGTGCTCTTAAGAAAGGACTAGAGGACCTAGTTTTGCATTTCTGCTCTTTCATCATGTGAGAACAGATTATGAAAGGTACCATCTTGAGCCGGCGCCGTGGCTCAATAGGCTAATCCTCCACCTTGCGGCGCCGGCACACCGGGTTCTAGTCCCGGTTGGGGCACCGGATTCTGTCCCGGTTGCCCCTCTTCCAGGCCAGCTCTCTGCTATGGCCAGGGAGTGCAGTGGAGGATGGCCCAGGTGCTTGGGCCCTGCACCCCATGGGAGACCAGGAAAAGCACCTGGATCCTGGCTCCTGCCATCGGATCAGCGCGGTGCGCCGGCTGCAGTGGCGGCCATTGGAGGGTGAACCAACGGCAAAGGAAGACCTTTCTCTCTCTGTCTCTCTCTCTCACTCTCCACTCTGCCTGTAAAAAAAAAATAAATAAATAAAAAAATAAATAAAAAAAATAAAAAATAAAAAAAAAAATAAAAATGTTATTTAAAAAAAAAAAAAAAAAAGAAAGGTACCATCTTGGAAACAGAGACTGGGTCTTCACTAGACAATAAAATTGCTGGCACCCTAATCTTGAATTTCCTAGCCTCCAGGGTCTCAGGTATTTTGCTAAAGCAGCACATACAGACAAGGACAGTTAGGTTAACAGTGAAAAGGATGGAAAAAGACATACAATGCAATCACTAATTAAAAGAAAGATACAGTGGCTATAACAGTATCAGATAATGTAGATTAGAAACAAAGAGGGATATTACACAATGATAAAAGGGGCAATTCACCAGGAAGATAATCCTAGATATGTATCTACCCAATAAAAGAGTTTTAAAATACATGATGCAAAAATGACAAACATGAAAGGAGACAAGTTGGTCACTTTAATATGTCTATCTCAATAACAGAACTAGACAGAAAATCAATAAAGATATAAATCTAAGCTTAACCTAGATTCTAGTTTGTATGACTGGATAGATGGATGGAAGTATCACTCACCAAGGAAGAAGTTCTAGTTTTGGGGCACACATGTATCACAAAACTTTCAAACATATAAGGAGACAGGTCTGTCCAGCATGTATAAAGAGGCAGTGATCAAGAAAGAACATGAACTCTTGAGAAAGAATGTCTAGGTCTAAAGCTCAGCCTCTCTAGTAATCTTGGGCAAATTACTCAACTTGCTTGTATCTCTGTTTCCTAATCTGAAAAAGGCAGATAATAATGGACCATCCTTTAAGAGTTGTTGTGTTTATATAGGAGCCAGCCCTGTAGCCCAGCAGGCTGGGCGTCAGTTCAAGTCCTGGCTCTTTTATTTCTGCTCCAGCTCCCTGATGTTGTGTCTGGGAAAGCAGTGGAAGATGGCCCAAGTAGCTGGGCACCTGCACCCACATGGAAGACTCAGAAGAAGCTCCTGGCTTCTGGCTCCTGGCTTCTGACCAGCCCAGCTCCAGCTGTTAGGGTGATTTGGGGAGCAAACCAGCAGATGAGAGATTCTCTCTCTCTCTCTAACTCTGCCTTTCAAATAAAATAAAATAAAAATCTTTAAGTGAGTTATTATGTCCAAAGTGCTAAGGACAGTGCCTGGCACAGAGTAAATATTCTAGGTACTCAAAAAATGTTTGCAGTGTTAGAGATGGAAACAGGAAACACAAAATCTTATTTGGGTTACTATGAAAGTCTAAAGGTCAGTGAAGAGGTAAATATCCCAAAAATTAATAAATTAGTTTAAATAAAGCACAGATATGTATGAATTTTTCAACAAAAATGAGCAGAGTAAGAAACACTAAGTGAGAACAGAATGCTGGAACACTTACTCATGTAAGAGGTGGGCAGAAAGGGGCCGGTGCTGTGGCACAGCGGGTTAACGCCCTAGCCTGAAGTGCTGGCATCCCATATGGGTGCTGGTTCAAGACCTGGCCATTCCACTTCTGATCCAGCTCTCTATTATGGCCTGGGAAAGCAGCAGAACATGGCCCAGGTCCATGGGCCTCTGCACCCGCGTGGGAGACCTGGAGGAAGCTCCTGGCTCCTGGCTTCGAATCGGAGCAGCTCTGGTCGTTGCGGCCAATTTGGGAGTAAACTATTGAATGGAAGACCTCTCTCTTTCTGCCTCTCCCCTCCTCTCTGACTTTCAAATAAACAAATAAATCTTTAAAAAAAAATAAAAAAAAAAAAAGAGGTGAGCAGAGAAAGAGACCAGTGGAGACTGAGCAAGAGTAACAAGAAAAGTAAGGTTAAAAGTAGGGTGATCATATAATGGAAACCAAGAAAGGACAGGAGATTAACAACATCATAAAGATCACGAAAAAATGCAAACTATCCACTGAAAAGACCAGCAGGAAGTTATTAGAGCTTTCCATGTGCTCTACTTCAGAATACTGGGTAAGGACAGAAGCCAGATTTAAAAAAAAAGATCTGGAAGTACAAGAGGCAGGAATGGGGCCGGCGCTGCGGCTCACTAGGCTAATCCTCCGCCTAGTGGCGCCGGCACACCGGGTTCTAGTCCCGGTTGGGGCGCCGGATTCTGTCCCGGTTGCCCCTCTTCCAGGCCAGCTCTCTGCTGTGGCCCAGGAGTGCAGTGGAGGATGGCCCAGGTGCTTGGGCCCTGCACCCCATGGGAGACCAGGAAAAGCACCTGGCTCCTGGCTCCTGCCATCGGATCAGCGCGGTGCGCCGGCCGCAGCGCGCCGGCCGCGGCGGCCATTGGAGGGTGAACCAACGGCAAAGGAAGACCTTTCTCTCTGTCTCTCTCTCTCACTGTCCACTCTGCCTGTCAAAAAAAAAAAAAAAAAAAAAAAAAAAAAAAGAGGCAGGAATATAGAATGACAAATAGGGCAGTATACATTTGAGGAAAATAAAAATTCAGAGTTTCTGAGCAAAGTCTGCAAACAATGTTTAAGTTACTTCTCTCTTACAGATTCCCAATGTATATTAACATATTAAAGCTCTGAAGAGTCTTACAATAAATTTACCTAACTTTTTAAATCCAGCATTGTCTCAAATTTAAATATAGATTCTCTTTTATAAGATATTTCTAGGGCTGGTGTTGTGGCACAGGTGGTTAAAGCCAAAGCCTGCAGCACTGGCATCCCTTATGGGCGCCAGTTTGAGTCCCGGCTGCTCCACTTCCAATCTAGCTCTCTGCTGTGGTCTTGGAAAGCAATAGAAGATGGCGCAAGTCCTTGGGCCCCTGCACCCACGTGGGAGACTTGGAAGAAGCTCCTGGCTCTTGGCTTCAGATCAGCTCAGCTCTGGCCATTGTGGTCACCTGGGGAGTGAATCAGAGGGTGGAAGACCTCTCTCTCTGTCTCTACCTCTCTACCTCTATATGTAACTCTGTCTTTAAATGAGTAGAACAGATTTAAAAAAAAAAAAAAAAAAAAGAAAGAAAGAAAGATATTTCTACCAGTATCATGCAGTTCTTTCCTTGGAACTTATTTGGAGAAGCAAATTTCTCAAAATGACAAAATTTCTCGAAATGACAAAATCAACCCATTAAACATTACCTCTTAGAGAAAGAGCTTTCAAGCTACTGTAAATCCATCTAAAAATAATTTCAGTCTAAAGGTTTCCCCACCCTATCACTAACAAAACAGTGAAACTGTCAACTTGCTGGTATTCAGATTACTGTCCCCCAAGTATTACCTGCCACCCTACCTTGATCATTCATACTATCCATTATTGTCATTAACTTCTTTAGCCTTGCCATTGACTCCTGTTCATTTCCTTTGCTCATAAAATCTGTTCCAAAACCTGGGATCATCCCCTAAAAGATTTAAACATAAAGTCATTAATACCTTACTTAAGACAAACTGTACAAAACGTTCACATTTAACTACTGTTTTTAATAGTAACACTGTCTTAAAATATCTATTTTATCTAAATATCAAAAATTAAAGTATACTATCTGTTCTTAGAATGTTTAGCAAGAAACAAAGGTATAAAGAAAGTTTTATGGATAACTTACCAAGATCTGACTGAAGGGGCCCATTTTCATGATATTTTGAAATTGTTCATACATGTCTCTTAATGTAAACTGACCTGAAATAAAATATAAATGGCTCAGATATATCAGAGAGCATACATTTCCACTCAATAAAATTAATCTTTTCCTTAAGATGAAGCACACTTATGAAATACCCAATCAATATTCACTAAGCAATCAGTACGTGCAATATGAATGTTGTGAATATATGGATGCACAGATTCTATCCCAGGGACATATACATTCTATCAAAGAAGATGGACATATAAAAATACACAATAAACTTTAAGCAAAGCACAAAGACTATAACTATTAGAATGACCAAAATTAAAAAGCTTGACAACACCAAAAATTAAAGAGGAACCAAGTATAAATCCCACATTTTGCTGATAAAAATGTTAAACAGCAAAAACATTGTGAAAATTATCTTAAAATAGCCTAGCTGTCTGTCCATAAATAGGAAAATGGGTAGAATGAAATACTACTCAGACACAAAATGAGCAAACTATAGGTATATCCAAGTACATGGATGAATATTAAAAATACACTGAGTCAAAGAAACCAGACTTAATAAGAAAGGATATACCCTATATAACGTGAAATATTACTAGGAAAGGGCACAAATAAATGTTCTTGAGTAACAGAATTGTTCTGTTTCTTGATGGGGGTGTGGATTACCATGCAGTTGTTAAAAAAAAAAAAAAAAAGATGGAATGATGTCCCAGATTCAAACATTTCATTGCAGGCAAATTAGCTTCAATTAAAAAAGAGGATAAAACAATATTTTCTATTAATGTCCTAAAGGTAAAAACAGAAAAGGCATTTCTTTTTAGGCATTCTAAAGCGGCAGTACAACATCCAAAAGAAATATTACAGTAGGTAGTTAGAAAGGCAGAATTAAACAGTGAACCAGATGATGAAGGCTGAAAGATATATTTGGTCACTGATACAGAAGTGGTAACTTAAGCTAATATAGAAGGATTTGAAACAGAAAAGGTAGATAACACTGTCATATACTAGAATCAAAGAAAAATGAGAAAGATCTTTACATGTGGAAATTAGGTGGCTGTCTGCGACCTCAAGAAATTTGTAGAATTTTAGAATCAGAAACAGAAAACAGAGAGAAATGAGTCAGAAAGTAAACAGGTCAGGAACAGACTACCCACTTTGGCAGTGGTAGTAGAACTAATGCTAAGGTTATTCAAGAGAAAGGAAAGCAATGGGAAAGGATTATGCAATGAGAGATAAATTCATTTATTAAATAAATATTTACTGAAGATCTATGATGTGCCAGACACACAGCAGGTTCTTAGAACATGAATAATGAAGAACACAGCTCTGAACCCTATTTTTACCTTCAAGCAGGGAAGAAAGACATCAAATAATTGTGATGAATAACATAAGGGTATTTCAAAAAGTCAATGGAAAAACGGAATTAAGACATGCTTATTTTGGTGCAAGAAAATTTTGAAATTCTTGCACAATACGCACGTCCATGAACTCTTTGAAAATCCCTCTGTGCCGATTTCAAAAAATTTTTGCATCAGGGTGAGTGTTATGGTGCAGAGGGTTAAGCTGCCACTTGGACACCAGTATCCCATATCAAAGTGCATAAAGTTGAATCTTGCCTCCATTACCAATCCAGCTTCCTGCTAATGCACACCCAGGGAAGCAGCTGATGATGGCCCAAGTATTTGGGTTCCTGCCACCCATGTGGGAAACCTGGATGGAACTCCTAGCTCCTGTTTTAGCCTGGCCTAACTGTAGCTGTCATGGCCATTTGGGGAGTAAATCAGAGGATGGAATTTATCTTTTTCTTTCTTTCTGTCTTTTAAATAAATAAAATATTTTGCATCAAAATAAACTTATCTATTAATTCAGTTTTCCATACACTTTTTAAAGTACCTTTGCACAATAATTAATTATAGGGTACAACAGAAGATGTACATCAGAGTTCTAATTTAGTCTAGAGGTCAGATAAAATGTCCCTGAGGAAAGACATCTAAGGAGGGAGCTCAAGTGTGAGTTGGAGTTAGCCAGCTTGCCCAGGAAAGGGGAAGGCAGAGGTAAGAGGAGAGGCTGTGTTTAACAGGCAGAGGTACTAGAAAGGCAATGGAGCAGAAGTTAGAGATAGTAATGCAGTTTTGAGAAATTGAAAGAAGTTCAGCATGGCTGGCACAATGAAAGCCAAGAAGAGTGCCAAAACATGAAATGAAAGATATGGGCTAGATGGTGGAATCATTTAAAAACAGCCGAAGACACTGAAGGATTTTAAGAAAAGCAGTAATGGGATCACACTCGCATTTCTAAAAGTCACTTTGGTTATATTAAAAAATAAATAAATAAAACAGATCAAAGGGGAAATGTCCAGAAAACTGAGAGATCTGTTTAAAGATTTACAATAAGAAATCCAGGTAAAAAATAAAATAGCATAATTTCTTTTTCTTTTTCTTTCTTTTTTGACAGGCAGAGTGGACAGTGAGAGAGAGAGACAGAGAGAAAGGTCTTCCTTTTTTGCCATTGGTTCACCCTCCAATGGCCGCCGTGGCCGGCACGCTGCAGCCAGTGTATCGCGCTGATCCGATGGCAGGAGCCAGGTGCCTCTCCTGGTCTCCCATGGGGTGCAGGGCCCAAGCACCTGGGCCATCCTCCACTGCACTCCCTGGCCACAGCAGACAGCTGGCCTGGAAGAGGGGCAACCGGGACAGAATCCGGTGCCCCGACCGGGACTAGAACCCGGTGTACCGGCGCCGCAAGGCGGAGGATTAGCCTAGTGAGCAGCGGCGCCAGCTACTATTAAGTATTATTATTTCAAACTCATAGTAGCTTTATCAAAAAGAAATCAAGGAAAGATATCGGGGATGCTTTTTTAGCTAATCATATACCATGTTTCAACTTCTCTATAAGTGCTTCATTGTCATCCAACTTCAACTCATTGACTTTATCTATCAGTCCTTCAATGTCACCCATACCTGTAAGACGCAAAAAAGAGAAAAATTAACAACTAATAGTATATTTTACATTAAGCAATACACATTTACATACATAATTATCTTGTGAGGTATGCAAGTTGGGTATTCTAACTATACAGCTGAGAAAAGTAAAGCTAAACAGGAAAAGTGGCAGAAAAGAAAAAAACAGAGCAGGGACTCCAACTTAACCTCAAATTCCAGGTTCTCTAACCATACTACATTGAGACAGTAAGGAAGTTTTACTGCCACTATCAATGTTATTACTACAACCACATAATTTTGTATTGTAATAAACACTTTTCCAAAGTATTTTCATGTAATATCTCAGCAGATAACTATCACCCTTAATTTACAGGTAAGGAAGGTAAGTCATAGTAGGAAAGGAATTTTCCTAAACCAGTTAGGGAAGGTAGGATTAAACTCCTAATCTACTCTAAAGACCCATATTATTTCTTGGAAATTTTTCTGTATCGCCACCGCAGTACATACCAAGAAGTTTGCTGATGAAGGGCTGTGTTTTGAAAGGTTCAAAGTCATCTATATGTTCCCCTGTACCAATGAAAATAATTGGACTTTTTGTGGCAGCAACTCTATAAAAAAATATAAAAATAAACTCAAAAAAGTGAAATCCTGAGATTTTCCAATTAATTAGATTAATTAAAATTTCACTAATTAAAGCAGAATTGTATTAGAAACTTCTTTACAGATCATATTAGGTCCACTACTGGAATATATTTTCAAAGATCAATAAGAAAGCCATAAACACTCATTCACTCATAATCACACAACTCTAAGATAGAGGACAAAAAAGCACCAATGGTACTTACGCACTGAGCGCACCACCTCCTTTTGCATGACCATCAAGTTTTGTTACTATTACTGAAGCCACATCTACTTTATCTTTAAAAGCCTTAGCCTGGGCTTCACAAGCCTGCCCAATGGAAGCATCCATCACATAAACAATGTTATCAGGTTGCTAAAAAGTTTAAATAGAAAAGATACATATTTTTACTGATTTTTAGTAAAGTTCATCACTAAAAGCTATAGAACATATTTATTGTAAATAATTATACAATCAACAAATATTTGTTGAGGAGTACTATGTATTAGGTACAATGCAGATTCTGAGGACAAAGAGGTCAATAAGAAAACCCTGTCCTCACAAAACATGGAACATGAAGGGTAGAGAAGACCTCTCTGGAGAAACCTTCAGGGCTAAAGCCAGAATAAAGAAAGGAAAGTTATGCACAGATCTGGAAGAACTGCATTCTAGGCACAGGAATAGCAAAAGAAAATCAGAAAAAATGTGAAGAATACATAATAGAACCAAAATAAATAAAACAGACGGAGGCTATTTCCTCTAGATCCATTCAACTAGAGTAAAATAACAGCATAACTAAAAGAAATTATCAGCATTAACCACTAACCAAAGAATTACTACCAATACCTCAATGGCAAAATATGGGTTCCTAATGCAAGGAATTTTCAAAAACTTCATGGAAAATACATATTACAGAAAAACTATAGATTTCAAAATTATTTCATATGAAAATAAACATCTTTTAATTGAATTTTCCACAAACCTCATATATGCTACAGATATTTATAAAACTTCTCAATTTTTATAATTTTAAAGATGAGAAACTAAATGCTACTTGATATTTTAAATGCTGTAACAAAGTCTCATATTCATCTAAAGTAAATGCTTCCAATTGAATTTAAATAACTTACATTAAGGAAATTCAACAGATATTACAGATTATATTAGATATAATTTTTAAATTATAGACATTACAGGTTAATTTTTAATTTTTCTTCTGTTTTTTATTTTCTACATTACAGTTCAAAAATGATGAGATTAAATTTTTATCATATAAAGGCAGGTACCCAGAATGAAAAAAATGATTTTGGGGGCTGGCACTGTGGTGTAGCACATAAAAGCCGCTGCCTGCAGTGTCAGCATCCCACATGGATGCCAGTTCAAGTCCCAGCTGCTCCACTTCTGATCCAGCTCCTTGCTAATGCACCTGGGAAAGCAGTGGAGGATGATAGCCCAAGTCCTTGGGCCCCTGCACCCATGTGAGAGACCCAGAAGAAGCTCCAGGTTCCTGGCTTCAGATCGGCCCAGCTCCAACCAGTTAGGCCATTTGGGGGGTGGTGAACCAGCGGATGGAAGACCAATCTCTCTCTCTGCCTCTCTGTAACACTGCGGTTCAATAAATAAATAAATAAATAAATCTTTTTAAAAAATCATTTGGAATTTGCCTTACTGGTAAGGACTAAGTGAATTTATATTTATCATATACTTGATTGGTTTCATAATTAACTAAAGTCGTTGTAGTGGTTTCACATTGAAAGCTACTTACTATAGCATTAGCAACTTGAAGCATTTCTTCGAACAGAGAGTCTTCTTGTTTGTGGCGTCCACTTGTGTCAACAATAATAATCTCAAAATTTTCATTTTTGAATTTTTCTACTCCTTCTGAAGCAATGATAACAGGATCCATTTCTGTATAGCTATTTAACATGGATAAAGGATTTAACAACAGCCACAACAGCAAAACTTCCAAATACTATTAATCTGGACATTGTTAGTCTCCTTTTAAACTATTCTGAAAATCAAAATGTTCATAATATCAATTTACAATACAATTATAATAAGTTTTAACTAATGAAATTTACTAGAGCCACATGCAGGAATACTCAGCATTTTAATTACAGAACCCCATACAATTCTGCATGTCTTTTCTGAACGAGTTCTGTTTTGCTCAATCTTTTTCCCACTCTTAATGAACTCTTGTGACAAAGCGTTTCCTATCTGCTTTTGCACTTAACACTATTTTTTATAACCATTTTATAAAATTACATTTCCTATAAAATCTAACTTTTAGGCTATACAGGATGCCATCAAATGGCTATGATATCACCTGTTAAATAAGTGTGCTATCATTGGATATTTAAGATTTTCCCAGTTTCTTAAAGACAGAGCTAACATGCACAGTACATAAATATGGTTTCTTTGAAATTATTTGAAACAATGATATACTCTTACAAGTTGAAGTTAGATCAAATGGCATTATCATTTAAACTTCAGACTTTAAAAATATATTGTTTTACTAGAGAAACAGAGTTAAATGAGCTCTCATCCGCTGGTTCACTTCCCAAATGTCCTCAAGGGACCTAGGCTAAGCAGGGAAACTGAGCAGGGAAATGGGAACTCAATTCAGCTCTCCCTCATAGGTGGCAGGAACCTAATTACCAGAGTTAGTGCTGCTGGCTCCCAGAGTCTGCATTAGCAGAAAGCTGGAGTCAGGAGACAGGTACTCTAACATAGCAAAACAGATGCCTCAAGTGCTGGGCCAAATGCTGGCTTCAGGACTTCTAGCTTTTATAAAGAAAATGTCCTCCAGAGACATCTTATCTCATTTCTTTTTCACAGTTGCTGACAAAAATCCTCCTCAAATTAAAAATCAAATTAGATGTCATTTTAATTTTAATTCTTCTGATTAGGGTTAAGTTTTCATACAAATAAATACTGTCAAATGAAAATATGAATATTTTACCCTAAATTAAGAACCACCACTGAAAAAAAAGTAAAAACATATGCAATAAGAATACACACAAGGAGTGGGCATTTGTCTTAGTGTATAAAAAGCCATTTGGGACTTCCACACCCCAAATCCAAGAGTCCAGATTTGAGTTCTAACTCTGCGTCCCAATTCCACCTTTCTACTAATATGCTTCTTAGGAAGCAGCAGATGATGGCTCACATACTTGTGTGTCTGCCATCCAGGTGGGAGACCTGGACTGAGATCCAGGTTCCTTACTTCAGTCTGTCCCAGCCCTTGCTGTTACGGGCATCTGGGTTGTCAACTAGTAGAATCAAGATCTCTGTCTGCCTCTTTCTCTCTGCCTTTCAAATAAAATAAAAATAAATAAGTCTTAAAAACTAAAGAAATAGAGCCGGTACCACAGCTCACTAGGCTAATCCTCCACCTGCGGCACCAGCACCCCAGGTTCTAGTCCCGGTTGGGGTGCCGGTTCTGTCCCGGTTGCTCCTCTTCCAGTCTAGCTCTCTGCTGTGGCCCGGGAGTGCAGTGGAGGATGGCCCAAGTGCTTGGGCCCTGCACCCCATGGGAGACCAGGGGGAAGCACCTCGCTTTTGGCTTCAGATCAGCGCAGCGCGATGGCCACAACGCGCCGGCCTTAGCTGCCACTTAGGGGGTAAACCAACAGAAAAAGGAAGACCTTTCTCTCTCTCTCTGCCTGTCAAAAATCAAAAATAAATAAATAAATAAAAAACTAAAGAAATAAAATGCGTGAGATTTTAAAAATTTTATTTGTATTCATTTGAAAGGCATAGCAAGAGAAATAAAGTGAGAGTGAGAGAGACAGAGTCCTTTATCCACTGGTTCATTCCTCAAATGCTCACAACAGCTCCCATCTGGGGACAAAGCCAGGGGCTAGGAATTCAACCGAGGTCTCCCATACAGGCAGCAGCAGCCCAATTAACAGAGCCATCACTGCTGCCTCCCTGCTAATGTGCCTGGGAAAGCAGAGGAAGACGGCTAAAGTCCATAGGGGTCCCTGCACTCATGTAGGAGACCCAGAAGAAGTTCCAGACACCTGGCTTTGGCGTGGCCCAGCCCTGGCCACTGCAGCCATTTCGGGAGTAAACTAGCAAATGGAAGATTTCTGTCTCTCTCTCTCTATAACTTTTTCAAATAAATAATAAAAAAAAACTTTAAAAACTAATAATTGAAAAATAAATTCTAGTATGTACACACTATCAAACTGAAGATTAGAAATAATCACAATTGCTACCTGAGATAATTCGAGATTGTAAGGCATTTTAGGATGATCAAAAACAAATGTTTTTAAATGGCATACTAAAGAAATAGACAGTTGCACTATTTGCTCATCAGTGTGTATTTCAGGCAGATGCTTCAGAGAAGTCTAAAAACTAGCAGCAGGAATAGAGAGGAAGATGGATGTAGGATAAAATGCCAAGGCAAGCTGGTAAGTACAGACAAAGCCAAAAACTAAACAAGGTCCACTCTTATATACTAGGCTGCTTCAGAAGAGTCAAAGCTAGTAATAAAACACAACTTACTGATTATACCTCCACTTTCTCCAGAAGAATTACATCCAGAAAGTATATACTGAAGTGTAAACCGACTGCATGAAATAAGTTCAGATAACATGAGTCACATGAGCATCAAAACAAAAGACAGTAACCTACCTTCCATAGAATGGAATCCTTGCTTTGGTAGCATTCTGTTTGAGTTGGTCAAAAGCCCCTAGAAAATAAAGAGTTAATAAATACTCCAATTTGAAAATAGAAATTACAGAAAACAATTTTTGAATTTCAACACAGTACCTGCTCTGAATGTGTCTGCACATATCAAACAGGTCTTCCAACCTTTCCTCTGGTAATAATATGCTAACTAGGAAAGGAACATTAAAAAATATTATTATACAAGTAATTCCTTCTGTTTACCCTCATTATTTACCTAAGACAGAGGTGGGGAACATTTAGCACTTGGGCTATACAAGGCCCGTGAAAATCATTTGCTCTGACCCTGCCAAGACAAATACAGACAGCACTTCAAATGCTACAGCAGGCTAATTTTTTTTTTTAAGATTTATTTATTTATTTGAAAGTCAGAATTACACAGAGAGGAGAGGCAGAGAGGTCTTCCATCCACTGATTCACTCCCCAGATGGCCACAATGACCAGAGCTGCGCCGATCCGGAGCCAGGAGCCAGGAGCTTCCTCCGGGTCTCCCACACGGGTGGCAGGGGCCCAAGCAATTGGGCCGGGCCATCTTCCACTGCTTTCCCAGCAGAGAGCTGGATCGGAAGAGGAGCAGCCGGGACTAGAATCGGCACCCATATGGGATGCTGGTGCTTCCGGCCAGGGCATTAACCCGCTGAGCCACAGTGCCAGCCCCAATAGCAGGCTAATTTTTAAGCAGATCATTCTGTATGGCCCACAAATTATGTTATAAATATCCAAATGGCCCTTGCCAGAAAAAAAAGTTCCCTACTGCTGACTGAAGGAATAGAATAGAACTGCACATAATTCTCCGAAATACAATATTATGGATTTTGAATATAGCAAATTTCCTAAAGAGTTTAAATTCTAATTGTCGTTTAGTCACATTTAAAAGACATAAAGACAGTGCCAGCGCTGTGGCACAGCAGATTAACGCCTTGGTCTGAAGCGCCGGCATCCAATATGGGCGCCGGTTCAAGACCTGGCTGCTCCACTTCCAATCCAGCTCTCTGCTGTGGCCTGGGAAAGCAGCAGAAGATGGCTTAAGTCCTTGGGCCTCTGCACCCGCATGGGAGACTGGGAAGAAGCTCCTGGCTCCTGGCTTTGGATTGGTGCAGCTAAAGCCTTCGTGGCCACCTGGGGAGTGAATCAGTGGATATAAGACCTCTCTCTCTCTGTCTCTACCTCTCTCTGTAACTCTGCCAAATAAATAAAATAAATTTTAAAAAATGACATAAAGTGATCAAGCAGCAAATGACCATCATCAAAAACAGGAACCACTGTTCACGTTCAATAAAAGAGATTAGTAATAATAAAACTGTCTCTTTAAATGAGTTTTTGTATTCCCCCAAAACTAACATGGTTGAGGCTTCTGGAAACAATGATGAAGCACTCAACTAGAGGAAAAGGGATGATATAATAAATAAAAAATTAGCATAAAGAAATGCAAAATAGGCCAGCGCCACAGCTCACTAGGCTAATCCTCCGCCTGCGGCGCTGGCACACCGGGTTCTAGTCCTGGTTGGGGCACTGGTTCTGTCCTGGTTGCTCCTCTTCCAGTCTAGCTCTCTGCTGTGGCTCGGGAAGGCAGTGGAGGATGGCCAAAGTGCTTGGGCCCTGCACCTGCATGGGAGACCAGGAGGAAGCACCTGGCTCCTGGCTTCAGATCGGCGCAGCGCACAGGCCGTAGCAGCCATTTGGGGGGTGATCCAATGAAAGGAAGACCTTTCTCTCTGTCTCTCTCTCTCTCACTGTCTAACTCTTCCTGTCAAAAAAAGAAAGAAAGAAAGAAAAAGAAATGCAAAATAAAAATCTGTATTATGCTGGGTAGGACAATGAAAAGGGAGTTTTTTGTTTTTTTTTTTTTTTTAATTTGTTTACTTATTTCAAAGTCAGAGTTACACAGAGAAGAAGAGATAGAGACAAAGAGAGAGTGGGATCTTCCATCTGCTGGTTCACTCTCTAAATGACCACAATGGCTGGGGCTGGACCTGGACTGGGCCAAACCAAAGCCAGGAACCAGGAGCATCTTCTGGGTCTCCTACATGGGTGCAGGGGCCCAAGGACTTGGGCCATCTTCTGTGCTTTCCGAGGCACATTAACAGGGAGCTGGATCAGAAGTGGAGCAACCAGGCAGTGGCACCCATATGGGATGCTGGCATCACAGGCGGTGGCTTCACTAGCTATGCCACAATGCCAACACTGAAGAGGGATTCTTAAGCCATGAAACAAAGTTAACTCTAAATTCTCTGCTCCAAAAATCATATACTCATATCCTCAAAGGAGAAGAACTGTCTTTTTGTATAAAAGTAGTATCAGATTTATATAGAAACCTACAGGTCTTTCAAGAAGCAATCACAATGGGCTGCCGTTGTTGCTTAGCAGGTTAAGCCACTGTCTGTGACACCACCATTCCATATGGTTCAAGTCCTAGAGTCTCCACTTCCCATCTAGCTCCCTGATAATGCACCTGGGAAAGCAGCAGAAAATGGCCCAAGTGTCTGGGCCCCTGCACCCATGTGGGAGACCCCAAAGAAGCTCCTGGTTTCAGCTTGGCCCTGTCCGAGCCACCCATATGGGTGGCAGGGGCCCAGGGATTTGGGCCATCTTCTGCTGCTTTCCTACACATCAGCAGGGAGATGAATTACAAGCAAACAGCTGGAACTTGAACTGGTGCTCCCATATCACATGCCTGCAGCTTAACCTGCAGTGCCATAACACTACCCCCCACCCCTATTTTTTTTAGTAAGGGTATATTACCTTTGAACATGTTGTTGTTTTGCCACTCCCCTGCAATCCAACAAACATAATCACATTCTGTTTTCCTTTGGTGGGTGTCCATGCTTTAACTCCAGGGTCTACAAGCTATACATTAAAAAAAAAAATAAAAGCAAAATCAAGTTAAAATATGTTTATATTCAAAACCCCCTCTCTTACCACTTTAAGATTATAAAAATAATTTAGGACATTTTCCTTTTATTTTTTTGAAGGTTTATTTTAGGGGCTGGTACTGTGGCGTAGTTGGTAAAGTATCTAGCTGCGATGCCAGCATCCTATATGGGTGCTGGTTCAAGTCCAGGTTGCTCTATTTCCCATCCAGCTCCCTGCTAATGCACCTGGGAAAGCAGAGGAAGATGGCCCAAGTGTTCGGGCCTCTGCACCTAAGTGGGAGACCCAGATAAAGCTCCTGGCTCTGACTTCAGCCTGGCTCAGCCCTACCCATGACGGCTACTTGAGAGTGAATGAGGAAAAACCTCTCTCCCTGACTTTCAAATCAATCAATTAATCTTTGGGGAAAAAAAAAAAAGTTGACTTAAAATAATTCAACTGTCAGTGTCCTGGGACTTGAAACTGGCCCCCAAGACCAAAGTTTGGCAAACTATGTGTAAAGAAAGTCCTAATGCATCATAACCACACTCATTCATTTACAACTAGAAGCAGAACTGAATGTCTGCACAAAGACCATGTAGCCCACAGAGCCTAAATCTTTAACAGGAAGCTTGTCAAGCCCATGCCAGCCAATGCTTTTATGGTCACACGATCCATTTTACTTCTGAATTTCAAGGAAAGCCATGTGGTAGGGAAGAGGCCCAGGCCCAGGTATAGCCTTAGGCAAATTTCGGAAATAGGCAAAATCTATCTTACACCAAAATCCATTTTTTTTTGGTCCTAGGTCCTTTCAGTACACTAATACACTTCCATTCTCTACATTTTATGGCAGAATCACCCATCTTTCTATGGACATGTTATTTGGAAGATATGTAATTATTTTATAAAACTATCTTTTCTTCTTCCTATCCCCTTGACCAAGGGTCTTTTTAACATTTATTGATTTATTTGAGAGGTGAGTAAAAGACAGAGGTACAGAGAGAAAGGTCTTCCATCCACTGGTTCACTCTCCAAAAGGCCACAAAAGCCAGAGCAGGGTCAATCTGATGCCAGGAGCCACGAGCTTCTTCCAGGTCTCCCACCCAGATGCAGGGGCCCAAGCGCTTGGGCAACCTACTACTGCTTTCCCAGGCCATAGCAGAGAGCTGGATCAGAAGATTACTAGTATAGTTTGGTGCTACTGCTGTGATTCATGCTAGGCAAGAAGTCTTAGACAGCAGTAAAAAAGGCAAATAATGTATTAATGTGAAAATAGTTTTAACCTCACTTTACACATCACTGCTCCACGTAAGTTTGAATACAAGAACTAGTCATTCATCTCTTATCAGAAGCATTTGGCACACTGCCTGCACTGATGTTACTATTCAACAATTGTTTTTTTAACTTGAAAGGCTGAGACAGAAAAGGCAGCTGCTTTCCTGGGCGCATAAGCAGGGGGCTGGTGGAGCAGCCGGGACTTGAACGGGCAGCCATATGGGATGCTGGCTCCTACCCTCTATGCCACAGCGCCAGCCTCAACAACCTCTTCTTTTTTTTTTAGATTTATTTTATTTATTTGACAGTCAGAGCTACACACAGAGAGAAGGAGAGGATGAGAGAGAGAGAGAGAAGTCTTCCATCCACTAGTTCACTCTCCAGTTGATTGCAATAGCCGGAGCTGTGCCCATCTGAAGCCAGGAGCCAGGAGCTTCTTCCAGGTCTCTCATGTGCATGCAGGAGCCCAAGGACTTGAGCCATCTTCTACTGCTTTCCCAGGCCATAGCAGAGAACTGGATTGGAAATGGAGCAGCTGGGACTTGAACTGGCACCCATATGGGATGCCAGCACTGCAGGGGGTGGCTTTAACCACCATATCACAACGCCAGCACAACAAACTCTTTTTTTTTTTTTTTTTTTTTTTTTAGATTTATTTATTTACTTGAAAGTCAGAGCTACGGAGAGAGAAGGAGAGCCAGAGAGAGAGAGAGAGAGAGAGAGAGAGAGAGAGAGGTCTTCTATCTGTTGGTTCACTCCCCAGATGGCTGCAACAGCCGGAGCTACGTGGATCTGAAGCCAGGAGCCAGGAGCTTCCTCTAGGTCTCCCACGTGGGTGCAAGGGCCCAAGGAATTCGGCTGTCTTCTACTGTTTTCCCAGGCCATAGCAGAGAGCTGGATCAGAAGTGGGGCAGCTGGGACTCAAATCAGCACCTATATGGGATGCCGGCACTGCAGGCGGCAGCTTTACCCAGGACGCCACAGCGCTGGCCTCCACAAACTCTTCTTAATGAAGCATTTGATGCTCCAAAGTTGCCGCCCGGCGCCGCGGCTCACTAGGCTAATCCTCCGCCTTGCCACACCGGCACACCGGGTTCTAGTCCTGGTCAGGGCGTCGGATTCTGTCCCGGTTGCCCCTCTTCCAGGCCAGCTCTCTGCTGTGGCCAGGGAGTGCAGTGGAGGATGGCCCAAGTACTTGGGCCCTGCACCCTGGCTCCTGCTATCGGATCAGCGCGGTGCACCGGCTGCAGCACGCCGGCCATGGCAGCCATTGGAGGGTGAACCAACGGCAAAGGAAGACCTTTCTCTCTGTCTCTCTCTCTCACTGTCCACTCTGCCTGTCAAAAAATTAAAAAAAAAAAAAGTTGCCTAAAGATACCTATTTCCTAACAATGAATATTTCCACTCACCCTGTGGTGACCTCAGATACTAGATAAAAAGCAACCTAGAAATAATTCAAAGACACAGGGTGTTTAGAGATCAGGCCTGGGTCTGACTAACTAGTTTTCTCAACAGCAAACTAAGAAGTATGAACTAGGCAAATTTTTGACTTCTTTTAGGATTGAATTTCATTTTTAAAAATAATTTTTTTATTAATCAGTCTAGTGGACTGAAATGTAACATGTGACATACTAGACTCTTTCAAAATACCTGTTAGTACCAAAAGAGTAAATGAAAACATTCATGAAATGTAAGAAAAAAATAACATACCATTAGCAGACACCTATTGGTCTAAACAATTTGTGTAACAGTACCTTTTTTTAATGCTTACCATTAGCTCTCTCTCCCTTCTCTCTCTCTCTCTCTCTCTCTCTCTATATATATATATATATATATATTTAAATGATCTAAGAATTTTACCATAATTTGCATGACAAGAACAATAACAGTATGAAGGTGAGGCAGGGCAATAAGGTATATTTATTTGAAAAATAAAACTTCAGGGCCGGCTCTGTGGCACAGCAGGTTAAAGCCCCAGCCTGCAGCACTAGCATTCCATATGGGCTTCGGTTCAAGTCCCAGCTGCTCCTTTTCTAATCCAGCTCTCTCTGCTATGGCCTAGGAAAGCAGTTAGAAGATGGCCCAAGTCCTTGGGCCCCTGCACCCGCATGAGAGACCCAAAAGAAGCTCCTGGCTTCGGATCAGCCCAGCTCCAGCTGTTGCAGTCATTTGGAGAGTGAACCAGCAGATGGAAGACTTCTCTGTCTCTACCTCTCTCTGTAGCTGTCTTTCAAGTAAATAAAATAAATATTTAAAAAAAAAAAAAAGAAAAAAAAACTTCACTGATTTAAAATTGCTCCTAATCTAGGCAAGAGCTGGGATAGTTGTTCTTTTCAAAAAAAACTCTTTATAAAATAAACAGGGTAGAAAATACTTGCTAGGTGTCATGACATTGCTGTACAAAACTAGGGAGAAAATTAGGCAATATCTAATATTAACAGACAAAACTCAAAGAAGTGTATCAATTTATTTGAGTAAAGTTCTACTCTTTGCAACTTGGCTTTGGCACTTTTTGAAGGAATAGTATTGGCCTTCACTTCTGTTCCCAATAAACTTCATAATAAAACAGGCTACTTTATAAAGTGAATAACCCTGGAGCTGGTGCTGTGGCATAGCTGGTAAAGCCAGCTCTGGTTTGAGTCCTGGGTGCTCCACTTCTGATCCAACTCTCCACTGTGGCTTGGGAAGCAGTATAGGATGGCCCAGATGCTTGGGCCCCTGCATTCACATGGGAGACTCGGAAGAAGCTCCTGGCTCCTGGCTTCGAATTGGCTCAACTCCAGCCTTTGCGGCCACTTGAGGAGTGAGCCAGCAAATGGAAGACCTCTCTCTCTCTACCTCTGCCTCTCTTTTATCTCCGACCTTCAAGTAAATAAATAAATCTTTAAAAGAAAAGAAAAGAAAGTTAATAACCTTTCAATCAATATTTTAATACCGATGCCTATTCCATAAAAACATATTACAAAGGATTCTGAAGCAGTATTATTTACAGGGCTAGTGTATTTTTATCCACTAAACCTACAGAATCACACCACTATCATGATATTTGCTTACCTTCACAAGTTCTTTAAATACAGCATGCTGAATCATTTTTCTTTTGTTAAGACCTGATGCCATTTCTTCAAGATCAATAGCAGACCTGCATAATGGTAACGTTTAGGAGACGGAGGAGAAAAGTCAGTTAAGGCACACTAAAAAAGAAGCTTCTATCCCAAAGAATATTAAGAACATTCTATCATTCATATTCATAATCTAACATGCACATAATTATAGTCACAAGTCATACCATAAGAATTTTACCATGAAATATTAGATGCAAGATCTTCATTAAGTTTTTTATTTAAAAGTATAAATATTTATTCATTCTCATATCACTGTAAAGTACCTATTTTCATTTTTCTTACTTTTTTTAATGTATTTTACACATCTCTACAACAGAACAGGACTTTCTCCAGTTCTAAGTGTTTAAATGTTAGTGCTTGCAATTATTCACAATGCAACAATATAGAAAAAAGGGATAGCTTGAATATGATAAGGGTGGGATTCAAGCGGCTGAGGTGCCTGTGGAGTTGAGTCCTGCCTCTTCAGTGCCTCTACCAGTAAATACGACTGAGGCCACACACATTGCTCCTTCATTCAAACACAGAGAAACCAAAATGAGGACAAAAAAGAAAATAACTCTCCAATAATCAGGGAGGCTGATTAATACCATCTTAAGTCTGAAGAAGATAAAATGGCCCAACTTTTCTATGAAAAATCTCAATTGTTGTCTTTACATTAAAAAAATTGTACAGTATATGACTCAATCCATCCAAATAAACAAGTAGTAAAATAGAAAAAAGTCCATGACTAAAATGAAAGCCATATGTAGTTTGTTCTTTAAACTATCAGTTCAGAAACATATGACACATGCAAATTTCCAGTATGAGTTCCACACTATTTCAGTGCTACACAGCAGAAATGTTTCATGATAAAATAAGCCTTTCTCGTTAGCTCCTCATCCTAGTAAACTAAACTTAATTTTGCTTGGTTTTTACCTGATTGATGTAACTTACTTAACATTTTCTCTCAGTTGCTTCACTAATTTAATATTAACATCTGCTTCCAATAATGCTGTACATACTTCCTTTAGCATAGCATTTAACACCTGAAAATAAATAAATAAAAATTTAAAGTGTCCAATGTATCATTTCAATTACATTCAATTACATGAAAACAATGGTTAATAAAGATGAAACACTACAACGTTACTGGGAGAAAGTTTTTCAGTAAGCTTTGAAAAAAAAAATCTTAATAAATGTCTATTTTGACAATATAAGACATCCCATTTATTTTTTTGGATTTTTTTTTTTTGACAGGCAGAGTGGACAGTGAGAGAGAGAGACAGAGAGAAAGGTCTTCCTTTTGCCGTTGGTTCACCCTCCAATGGCCGCCGCGGCCAGCGTGCTGTAGCCGGCGCACCGCACTGATCTGATGGCAGGAGCCAGGTACTTATCCTGGTCTCCCATAGGGTGCAGGGCCCAAGGACTTGGGCCATCCTCCCCTGCACTCCCTGGCCACAGCAGAGAGCTGGCCTGGAAAAGGGGCAACCGGGACAGAATCCAGCGCCCCGACTGGGACTAGAACCCGGTGTGCCGGCGCTGCAAGGCGGAGGATTAGCCTATTGAGCCGCGGCACCGGCCATTTTTTCAGATCTTTTTAATGAAAGGCAGAGTGACAGAGAGAATGATCTCCCACCTGTTGATTCACTCCCCAGATGCCTAAAACAGCCAAGGGTGGGGCAAGCTAAAGCCAGGCTATCCATCTAGGTCTCCCATGTGGATGGCAGGACCCAAGTAATTGAGCCATCATCTGCTGCCTCCCAGGGTACAAATTAGCAGGAAGCTGGATTGGAAGAGGAGGTGGGATTCGCTCTCAGGCACTCTGATATGGGATTTGAACATCCCAAGTGACAGCTTAACCTGCTGAACCACAATGCCGGTCTCTCTCCCATTTAGCTTTTTTTTTAAAATCTATTTGACAGGTAGAGCTATAGACAGTGAGAGAGAGACAGAGACAAAGGTCTTCCCTCCATTGGTTCACTCCCCAAATGGCCACCATGGCCTGCGCTGCACCGATCCGGAGCCAGGAGCCAGGAGCCCACGGGTACAGGGTCCCAAGCACTTGGGCCATCCTCCACTGCCTCCCCAGGCCACAGCAGAGAGCTGGACTGGAGGAGGAGCAACCGGGACTAGAACCAGCGCCCACATGGAATGCCAGCGCCACAGGTGGAGCATTAACCAAGTAAGCCATAGCACCGGCCCCCCATTTAGCTTTATATATTCAAATACGAATTTCATTTTACACTTTTACTCTAAAGTATAAATAATAAAGACAATACGGTAAACCAAAGTAAGTTTACACAATGGATGCTGCCACTGATGTTTTCTGTCACTGAAGAACCCTGTTGCCAGTACTCAGCGGTATATATTCACAATACATATCTGCTTTTCTTAACTGAACTACCAAGGAGGAACATTACCTAATATTACCATTTCTACTCAGAACAGAGGAATTAAGTTAGAAAGGAAATACCTCCCACTAATAATTCACATCATCAGGGCCAGTGCTGTGGCGCAGCGGGTTAATGCCCTGGCCTGAAGCGCTGGCACCCCATATGGGTGCCAGTTTGAGACCCGGCTGCTCCACTTCTGATCCAGCTCTCTGCTATGGCCCGGGAAAGCAGTAGAAGATGGCCCGGGTCCTTGGGCCCCTGCACCTGCGTGGGAGACCTGGAAGAAGCTCCTGGCTCCTGGCTTCGGATCGGCCCAGCTCTAGCTGTTGCAGCCAATGGGTGAGTTAACCATTGGATGGAGGATCTCTCTCTCTTTCTCTGCGTAACTCTGACTTTCAAATAAATAAATAAATCTTTTTAAAAAAATAATTCACATCATCACAAGTTTGTTGAGCTTCAAGGCACTGTGGTTAAAATGTCGTACATAAACTAGGCTTTAGCCACTGAGGTATGTAATGTGCTTCACTGGAATATAAATTCCACAAACGGAAGAATTTTAGATTATGTTTCACTCTTACACCCCTGGGGCCAGCAAAAAAAAAATTTCATAAATGCAGGCCCTCCAATACTTCTTGAATGAAATCTCTCCCTCAACTCACTTGATATTATTCCCTATGCAGGTGTCCAGGTTTCTCTAGTCACCCATTATTACAGGGGTCTGATACACTGGAAATGATATCTCTTAGAAGGACTTCTTGTTAATTCACTAGCAGAACAGTACCAAGAACAGAGAAGCTGCCAATTCAGGAAAAAGCTGTTACTCTACTTTCCACCAAGCATGTCTTCCCTGGTTCTCTATGTTTACTATACTACAAACACAAAAAGTACTAGGGCTATATAACCAGAAAAACTATTTGGAAAGCTGCTGTGTTATTTATTTTGCCTTATGACATTAAATAATGGCTTATTATTTAATAAGAATTATTAGAAAAAGCACCAGATGAGGAATTAGAAAACAAAGATTTTAAACTTGGTTCTCCAATAAATAAACACATGAAATTGACTTTTTATTACAGGAAAAGCTGGACTAAGTGATCTCTAAGATGGTCTCAAAATTATTTAATTCTATAAATTTATGAAAGTGTTGACATAAAATTGATACAAAATTTTATACTTTTTTCAAACAAGCTAGAAACTACTTTTATTAGTTCATTTGATCTTTAAAACCATTGTTTAGATAAATGCTATTTTCCCATTTTATTCATTAAGGAATCTGAGGTTGACCTGCCTAAATTTATATTGCACAGCTACTAAATGGCTAAAATGGGACTCTCACTAAGGTCTTCCAAAACCAAATTCAGCAGTTTTTCCATTGTTACTATAAAACATAAAGTGTCCTTGTGAACTATAACCATCTTTTTAAGTTAACAAGCCATTAAGACTCATACAATCTGTAGGGGAAAGCAGGAGAGAGACATACAGAATGTTAAAATAACTAAGTCAGGAAGAAGAATATTTCAGAAATGACATAAAAAGCCAATTCACAAAATCTCTAAAAAAGAAAGTGAAACTGCTAGCCTTTTATTAAAACAATATTAAACAGAAGTGAGAGCAAAAAGATCAAGAAAGCACATGCCTAGCCAAGAAGCAGGATAATAAAGTTTCAGGTTAATGTCAAGATACAAGCAAAAGTACCACTCCAGACTTAAGCCATTTTCAAAAGTTACATTAGTTTTTACATGTAAGCTAAGGTCATTTTTGTTTTTATTTTTAGTATATGTGCTGCCAAAGCAAGCACTTGTTTTTATTCTTAAAAATTTTTATAAGATTTCTTGATAGCTGCCATTTTATTAAAAAAGAAACTGATAGCCAGTGCCATGGCTCAAAAGGCTAATCCTTCGCCTTGCAGCGCCGGCACACCAGGTTCTAGTCCCGGCGGGGCACCGGATTCTGTCCCGGTTGCCCCTCTTCCAGGCCTGCCCTCTGCTGTGGCCAGGGAGTGCAGTGGAGGATGGCCCAGGTGCTTGGGCCCTGCACCCCATGGGAGACCAGGATAAGCACCTGGCTCCTGCCTTCAGATCAGCGCGGTGCACCAGCCGCAGTGCGCCGGCCGTGGCGGCCATTGGAGGGTGAGCCAACGGCAAAGGAAGACCTTTCTGTCTCTCTCTCTCTCACTGTCCACTCTGCCTGTCCAAAAAAAAAAAAAAAAAAAAAGAAAAAAAAAGAAAAGAAACTGATGGGGCTGGCACTGTGGCTTAGCAGGTCAAGCCTCTCCCTGAAATATATAAAGGGGAAATAATGGTAAGGTAGTTAATTTTTCAATCAAGAATACTACTTACAGTACCTAGCTTTAGGCTTTATCTGCAAATATTAAGTCTGTATCAAAATGAATATAAGCATAGGGATTATTAATTATCCACCCTGCCAATAACTAGTGAAGATACACAATCGTTAACATACTTCACATAATATTTCACGTACCTCTTCATTGATAATGGTAGCATTGCTCAATGAGCGTAATGCTGATGTTATTTTTCTTCCAAGGTCTGCAAGTACCATCTTGAAGGCTTTAAGATGTGCTTATTTCTCTAGAAAGTAAAAAAAATTAAAACAATCAATTTCATTTCCCATGACTGAAGACTTCTAAATGAGACTAAGTTCACATTAAAGCACTCTCACGTTCCAGCTTCTATAGCCTCAACCTGCAGCTTCAATAGTCATATCCAAAAGATTAAACTGCCACCAAGTTATGCTTATGTTTAAATATCAAATTGGAATTTTATATGTCAAATAATATCCTTTGAGGAAGGAATAATATGATCTCAAATATGTTCTTTTTTATTTTTAAAGTTTATTTGAAAAAATAGAGTGACAGAGACAAAGGAAAAGGGCGAGAAAGAAAGAAAAACCTTTCATCTGCTAAACCACTCCCTAAATGGCTGCAACAGCCAGAGCTTGGTCAGGTCAAAGCCAGGAGCCAGGAACTCCAACCATGTCTCCCACAGCAGGCCATCTCCCGCTGCTTTCCCGGGCACTTTAGCAGGGAACTGGACTGTAAGTGGAGCATCCAGGAATCAAATGGGCACTCAGTACTCCAATATGGGATGCTGGCATCTCAGGCCACAGCTTAACTCACTGTGCCACAATGCAGGGCCCTAAGTTCTCTTTGTGAATATGAATCACTGAATGAAAAGAGAAAAAGAAGTTGAAATCTCCAAGAATATTGCTTCTATTAAAGGACTTTGTGGGGCAGCGCTGTGGCATAGCAGGTCCGGGCGCCGCCTGTGGTGCTGGCATCCCATAAGAGCACCGATTTGAGTCCCAACTGCTTCACTTCCATTCCAGCTCTCTGCTGTGGCCTGGGAAAGCAGTGGAAGATGGCCCAAGTCTTTGGATTGACCCAGCTTCAGCTGTTGCGGTCATCTGGGGAGTGGACCAGTGGATGGAAACCCGCCCCCCTCTTCTGTGGCCATTTGGGGAGTGGACCAGCAGATGGAAGACCTCTCTCTCTGCACCTCTGCCTCTGCCTCTCTGTAACTCTGCTTTTCAAATAAATAAATAAATCTTTTTTTTTTTTTTTTGACAGGCAGAGTGGACAGTGAGAGAGAGAGACAGAGAGAAAGGTCTTCCTTTGTTGTTGGTTCACCCTCCAATGGCCGCTGCGCTGCAGCCGGCGCACCGCGCTGATCCGAAGGCAGGAGCCAGGTGCTTCTCCTGGTCTCCCATGGGGTGCAGGGCCCAAGGACTTGGGCCATCCTCCACTGCACTCCCTGGCCACAGCAGAGGGCAGGCCTGGAAGAGGGGCAACAGGGACAGAATCCGGTGCCCCGCCGGGACTAGAACCCGGTGTGCCTGCGCCAAAGGCGGAGGATTAGCCTACTGAGCCGGGGCGCCAGCCTAATAAATAAATCTTAAAAAAAAAAAATAAAAATAAACAACTCTGTAACTACTCTGATTTTTGCTCCTAAGGGAAAAAAAAGTTTTAATTAATAAGTAACACTTCTTGCACAAAGAAGAGCATCTATTGAGCTATTAATTATGTAACAGGCACTGTGCAGATTACACATAAATTACATTATTTAATTTTTTTAAAGATTTATTTATTTATTTGATAGGCAGAGGTACATAGAGGGAGAGGGAGAGGGAGAGAGAGAGAGAGAGGGAGAGGGAGAGGGAGAGGGAGAGGGAGGGAGAGAGAGAGAGAGTCTTCCATCTACTGGTTCACTCTCCAGATGGCTGCAATGGCCGGAACTGCACCGATCTGAAACCAGGAGCCAGGAGCTTCTTCCAGGTCTCCCAAGTGGGTGGAGGAGCCCAAGGACTTGAGATACCTCCTACTGCTTTCCTAGGCCATAGCAGAGAGCTGGGTCAGAAGTGGCGCAGCCAGGACTCAAACTGGCAGCCCCCACCTGCTGTGTCACAGCACCAGCCCCTCATTTTATTCTTCTAACCACCCAGGAAAGAGGTATATTATTAGTCCTTTCCATTTTAAAGCTTTTCCTAAATCCCTAAATGCAAAGTAAGCTAACCTCAAAAACCCTTCCCAGATCTAAAATGTTATAGTTTTGCTGCCGTGAGATGTTTATCTTAAAACGGAAATACTGGTTCCTCCTGAGCCTCACATTTGACAGTCTTCACACAGTAACTGCACCCATCAGCTCTGTTAGGCCTCTACCTTGCCAACTCATCCTGCAGACCTTGGAACTTGTCACCACCCTATATAATTTCCTTCTCTTTCTCTTCCCTTGCCCTCACCCCACACACCCTTATTTGGTGTTTCTCTGAAGAACTCTAATTACTAATGAAGGGATAATTCAAAGGTAGCAGCAAAGGTTTACAGCCACTGAAATAAGGGTAGAATTTGGTATATGCTGAAGGAGATGAAAGGTGAAATAACAAAGGAGAAATGGAGACAAGGAAAAGCCAGGAACACATGTATGCCTGGTATATGTATTCTACTTATAGATAACTGAGTATTATTTGGAGAATAGTCAACAAAATATTCTGGTCAGGAGAGAGGGCTATTTAGTTATAAGGAAATGCAGGTTGTAAAAGGCTCTGGACACCAATTGTACAACATATACAATATTGTCAGAAAACCTAACTGTTTGAAACAACTGTTTCAGAAACCTTTCCAAGCTAATCTATTCAGTCAACCAAGATGATCCACACTAGCTCCTAGTACAGAGTACATGGGGGTTGAAAAATAAGAGAAATATGAGGATAAAATGGATGACTCATTCAACACAGGGAGAATAGAGAGGTGTGGGGAGACAAAAGCAGCAGGAAGGGAACAGGTATTTTAGGACTTAACAGGCACTCTAGGTCTTAACGCTGGCAAGGAGCTATGCCAGGTTGTGCTATAAATTAAACACTACACTTCTACTCAAATAAAATCTGGTAATTTAGAGCTTAAAAAAATTACTACACTACTTGCAAACCAGAAAAAATTGCTTACCACACATTTTTACTATCACATGTTTGCTTAACCTGAAAGTCTAATGTCTTCATGGAAAAGATCCAGGACTTCCCATTTCTTATTCCATATCCATCACACTTACTAGTTCTTACACAAATACTGTCCATGAAAGAAACAGATTCAGATGTTTCAGTTCATCTCCTCTACCACTGTTACCACAAGTGATACAGTCCCGTTTGTGACACCACAATCAACATTTTTTAGAGATCATGTCATAAACAAATCAATTTAAAAAGCTTTAGTTACAAATGTTAAACTAGTTAACTCTTAAAAATAAGTCCAACTTTTCACATTAACTGGCTCTTTTAAATTTAAAAAAATGCTAAAGTTTTCTTACAGACTTTTCCTTATTTAAATACCTATTAGCAGCATATTTGAAAACATTCAATTCAGTAGAGGGATAAGAATATCTAATAAGTGGCTACTGTTGTGGTGCAGCAGGTCAAATTGCCACCTGCATCCTGTCTGCAACCAGTGTTCAAGTGGCTGCTCCACTCCTGATTCAGCTCCCTGCCAATGCGCGTGGGAAAGCAGCAGATGGCTCAAGTGCTTGCTACCCACATAGGAGAGCTGGACTTGGATAGAGTTCCAGACTGCTGGCTTCAGCCTGGCCCAGTCTTGACTGTTGCAGCCATTTGGGCAGTAAACCAGTGGATGGAAGCTCTCTCTCTTTCTCTCTCTCTAACACTGCCCACTACCTTTTAAATAAAATATATCTAAAAATACCTTTCACTTATGTCTCCTTAGAAATTTCCAATGATTTTTTTTCCCTGAAAACTGGTGTCAAGACTCTGCTTAAAATTTCAGTGACTTCCCATTGCATGCAAAGGTAAAGTCCTCAGAATGGACCACAAAGTACTCCTGAATACACACACACACACACACACACACATACAGTTGATTTTCATCACACTAACCTCCTTGCTGCTGCTGTTGCTGCACACCCACGTGCCTCAGGACTAGCTTACATGCTCTTCCCCGGCTGAAAACACAGCTCTCTTCTTCATCTCCACCAGATCCCTGTCCAGGTACCATTCCTCAATGAGGTCATATCTAATCACTCATTTAAAACTGCAATCGCCAATGAATTTGAACAGCCCTTGTCTTGACTATTGAGGAACAGGTTTATTTGTTTTCGTGTAAATTTTTGAAGTCTTTACTTAGTATAGAGTTAGTCTTCTTTGTATAAAGTTAATCGAAAATGGATCTTAGTGGAGAATGGGACTGAGAATGGGAGAGAAGAGGAGGAGAGTGGGTGGGAGGGTGGGTATGCTGGGAAGAATCACAATATTCCTAAAGTTGTACTTATGAAATGCATGAAGTTTGTAAAAGGTTTCTTTGGGGGAAAAATAAAGTTAACTGAAAATAAAATAAAAAATAAATAAACTGCAATCTTCCTTTTCCCTTTATTTCTCCCACTGTTCTATTATCACTGATACGTGATTTGCTTAATAATATTTGTGATCCATAATTTCCTTAATGAAATGTGAGATGTGTGAGGGCAGGGATTTTTGCCTCTGGTTCTCATGAGTTCACTGTTTTACTGACCCTCAGTCTTGTACAGAAAACCCTTAATAAAAATGAACTTTATGAATAAATAAAATAATGTATTTATAACCTTTGGGAAAAAGAGACTGGGGAACCAAAGTCATGGAAGGCATTGCAAAAATCTCTTAAAGGCCACCAAAATAAACCAATGAAGATGGTATGACAAGACAAAGGAAATTCAGCATCTAAATAATTGACATTATACACTTAACATCCTTTTGCTATTGCTTACAACTTTTCGGAATTTCCCTAGCATGTACTTCCAGAAAGACACTTAAAAATTAACCTCACTTTGTTCTAATATGTACCCTAAAATGTAAAACTTTTTTCACTTTTAATAACTAATTCTGAATCTTAAATTGGAGTAATATACAACTCAAGTACACTCACCCAAAGTTTTCTTGGTTATCTAAAAAGATTTATAAAAACAAAACTGTAAACCACAATTTTACAAAAGCATCATTTTTACTTAGATGAGGCTTTTATTAAGGTGAGGGATTACTCTACAGCACTTTCCACAGTTTAACTCTGTTATCTCATTGCACCCTTACAACAATTTTA